GAGGGGTGGCTGCCGGAGCTGGAGCGGTGGGAGCTTTGCTGGCACAAGGGACAGCAACAGGGCTGGCAGGTTTCTCCGGGCTCTTCTGGGTGCTGACTGTCTCAGCGGCCGGGCACACGGGCGACACCAGGCAGGGGATCTCTGCCAGCTCAGTCGGTGGCTCTGGGATGCTGGGCCACTTGCTGGCCACCTGCTTCTCGCTGTCCTTCCTGCTGCCTGGGCTGGGCTGGCGGTGCAGCATGCGCATGCGGTACTCCCGCAGGCTCAGGGCCTTGGGCTTGGCTTCCTTGGGCAGGCCCTCGCCCGGCTCGGCTGCCTGCAGGCTCTGGGGGGGCTCCATCCCCACACTCTGCTCCCCACTGGGGGGCGGAGACACAGCCTCCGCGTTCCTGCTGTCTTGACTGACAGCTGGCTGCGCGTCATTCTTGCCCTCATCCCACCCCCGCAGCCAGCACTACACTCGCTGCTTCTGGCTCCAGCTCCTTCTGAGACTCCAGGTGCTCTTTTTTAGGTAGGGAGGCCCCCGCCGTGCTTCGGGGTCTGCCCCGGGGCCGTGGGGCTCGGTCAGCACGCAGCTCCATCTGTCCCTCTTTCCTGGCTCGCTCTAGCTGCTGGGCCAGGAAGTCTGAGACCTGGACAGAGGGTCGCGCTGCCCGGCGCTGGCTGGCGGGCGGCTGGCCCAGGGGCCGTGTGGAGCTGGCCGAGCGGAGCCGGTGGGCCACACAGTCCCTGCCCGGCCTGGCCTGCTCGCTTTGGGCTTCCTCTGCTTTCTTTTTCCGACTCTTCCTTGCTCTTTCGCGTCCACGGCCCTTCTCAGAGCCCTCGCGCTTCCCACCAGCCAGAGCCTCAGTGCTGCCCTGGGAGCCGCTCTCTGGGAGACAGGGTCCAGGTGCTGCTGTCTCCGGTGGCAACTTGCTCTCTGCGGTTGTGCAGGAGGGCTCCTTCCCAAGCGGCCTCTTCTCCTCTCCCTCCTCCAGCTTGTTTTCTTGGGCAGGGACTTCTTGCAGCCCCTTGTGATCCTCCAAAATTGACACCTCAGCACTCTCCTCTGCTCCCAGGAGCTGTGGTTCCAGCTCAGGAAAGCTAGGGGCCAACGGCTGCAGGACCACAGGGATCTCCACGCTCTCCCCCTCACCAGGCACAATTTCCAGCAAGACGGGACCATTCAGGAGCTCCTTGGCCACGGGCTCACTCTCAGGGTCCAGGCACACAGTGAAGGTGGGCAGACAGTACGGGTGCATGGACTTCACCAGCTCACTCAGGGACACATCACCTGTATTGATGATACAGGGGTCTTCACGCTCCTCCAGTGCTGCTCTGGCCCCGCTCACGCAAAACTCTGTGGCCTCTACGCCGCTGTCTAGCTCTGGGCTCAAAGCAGCCTCCTCCTCCTCTTCCTCCCCATCGCTACGTTGCGGCAGGGGCTGCTCTCGGGCCCGGTGCCGGCCCAGCTTCCTCTCTACCCTGGGGGCGCTGCAGACTTGCTTCTTTGGTAGTGCTGGGTCCTCGAGGCTGTGAGCAGCACGGTCCCAAACCAGGTCTGTGTCAGTCTGGGAAGGGGAACCAGAGTCAGCGTCAGCTCCTTGAACCAGCAGGGCTTTCACCCGAGATGCCCCAGGCACGGGAAACAGTGGGTCTGCTGCAAGTCTGCAGCAAGACCCTGGGCAGATTAAAAACCTGGAACACGTGTTCCACCCTCACAGTGGCACATTACAGAGCTAGACACCCTCCACCCCGTCTGCAGTAGCCCCAGTCCTGCACTGCCCCTCTGTGCGGGCACTCCTCTCCTCCCACTCCAGCCAGGGCCAGCTTTGCCCTGCAGGCATCGCGTCTGGGAGAGGACGTTTGCACTGGGTACAAGGGCAGGCAGAGGCCTGCAGAGCCCAGGGAACAGATCGTAGTGCACACGTAGTGCAACACGTGGGGGAGAGCGAAGGAGCAATCACACAGTTGCCTCCTTCCGCCCCACTAACACCGCTGTGCCACGGGCAGCAGCCGTTCCACACGCGCAGTGACACACAAGCGCAGACACCGCACTGCGCAGCTGCTCTGAAACCAGGGTGGCACCGCGAAAGCTAGTCCTACCCTGACCGTGTCTCCCACAGAGCCGGGGGCAGCAACAGGGACACAGTTACCCCAGCATCACCTCGACATTGGCTGCTTCAGCATCCACTGCTCAGCTGCTCACCTTCCCAACCACAGAGACGTTGCTGCCGCTCAGAGGCCTGAGACCCTTGGGCTGCTCCAGGGCAGGGCTCTCACGCTCAAGGGATGGCCGGGATAAGCTGAGAAACTTCTGAAACTGGTGAGAAAATGGACAGAGCATGAGGCAGCAAAAGAAATACAAAAGTTGCCTTGCAGTTCCTGCAGCGGCTTCTCCCTCTTCCCAGAGCTCTGCTACCTGATGGGGATGGGACAGACCATACTGTAGCCCTGCAATGGCCTCGCATGTCCAGCTGGGAGCATAAACCTGGCATGCACGCTCTCAGTCGGTCACACAGAGATGGCACACTGCTTCCCTAAGCTTCCAGCACATTTCTTGCTCTGCACCAAAATGCAGGACAAAGGCACGGTCTCCTGAGCTTGCACGGGGGTCCCTGGGGCGTCCAGAGCTGGCTCAGCCCTTTTCTCACATACTGCCAGACAGCACTCAGCAGCAACAGAGGCTGCCCTAAACCACTGGGGACTAGTGCTGTGCCCCCTCAGGGCATGCCCATGCCAGGAAGGGGCTAGGCATTGCCATGTTTGGGCATCTTTCTATGCATTTTGGGGTTGGGGCTGGCTTTGCCCCAGAACAGGGAGAGCCCTGCAACTCACCGAGGGATTTTCCCGCTCCCGAGGCGAGGTCAGCAGCTCTGCGTCCATTATGGTGTCAAAGGGAGACAAGGTCTCATCATCTGTGCTGTCCAGGATCTCCGTGATGGCAGTCAACAGGGACAGCTCATTCTGCGCATCCAGGCAGGCCTTGTTCTGCTGAAGGAGAAGGCCCAGTCTCACAGAGCAGTAGGGCACAGCAACAGGACCCTCCCACAGGGGAAGCTGCCACCCTCCACCCATGTCGAAAGCACCTGCAGCAGTAACCTCAACAGCACAGGCTGCCATTTCTTGCATGCGCTGCCAGTACTGCTGCGAGCTTGCTGGGAAGCCCTCCTTGGGCCACAGCATGCCCAAGGCTGGGAGGGGAACCCCAGTGACCCTGTTTGCTGTGTTGACAGGGTGCCCTCTGCAAGCTGGGGTTCCCCAGGGGGCTGCATGCATGGACCTCCTACCTCATTGAGGGAGAGGTCCTCGATGATGGAGATCACAGAGGAGTCGAGGTAGTTCTGCATTGTCCCTAGGATCTCTTCGGCCTCCAAGATGGTTTCTGCATCCAGCGATGTTAAGTTCAGGTCGTCCTCCTCAAGGGAGAGGCACTGGCAAGCAGCAGGGGGAACCAGGTAAACGCTTTGCAAATCATCACTGTGGGCTCCCATCACCAGCAGCGCTCTCTGGCTGCCGGAGCATGCTGCGGTCTCCACGAGGCCCACGGGAGGCTGCACGCTCCCTGCGGCACACACGGACACCCAACAGGTTTGTGCTCTGCCAGAGCTGCGTTGTGAACAGCAACTGGACACACAGCAACAACCCCAGCACCTCCAAATGTGCAGAGAGGGGCGGGCAGGGACACAGCGGAGCTACAGGTCAGAAGACAGCACACAGGACCTTTCTTCCCTGCTTTTTGGGAGAGCTCTGGACCAGCCCACTACACTGCACAAAGCCCTACACAGTACAATGCCACTTTCGATCCTTGCTTCTGAGACCCTTTCAATTACTGTAGATGCCACCAGATTACAAATTCACACCTCATGCACTTAGAAGTTATGGGATTGGGAAAGATGAATTAGTAAAACCCCCAAAATTCCCAGGATTTGTTTGATACTGTGCCTCTCTTACACATGGCAGGGAGGGGAGAAGCAGGTTTCCCTCCCACACCCCATGGACTGTCACATGCTCTTCTGACTCCAGCTGTTGGCTCTTTAGATAAGCCCCAAATGTTACGAAATTTATAACAAATGTGCAGGACTCAGCAACAGGGATGCATCCGGCTGTCACTGCCAGTGCCTTAACTAGACATCTGTGCTGTAAGCCTCATCGCCTGTACTCATGATTCAGGACCAAAACAGCTCTGTTGCTACTGTTTCCTCATTTTCCCAGTTCCCTGTCCTCTCCAGACCCTCAACCAAGGACCTCTGGGTAATGCCTGATAACTTCAGAAGGAGGCGGCGAGGTCTTGGCACCACACCCTGCTGTGCCACACAGGCTAACACTGCAGCCGCTGCTGCGGCGCTGCCAGGAAGAGCCCCAGGTGCAGGACGGGGCAGCAGCGGGTGAGATACCTGGCCAAGGCAGGGACTAGAGGCCAACCTGCCTGAGCAGGGCCGCAAGGACGCGTGCCCTCTGCTATCGCAGCCTCAGCCAGAAGCAAAGATGCAGAGCAGCCGTGTCGTCGGCACGAGACAGCATTTGCGTTCCTGCTTGCAGATGGGCTTACGTAGAGATAACGCGGCCCGGGAAGATAACAGGACCAAGGACGGAGCCCTGGGAGAGCACATCTCCCTCCCAAAGCTGCAAGGGAGCAGACAGCGAGCCTTCCTCCCCGCAAAACAGCACAGGGGAAAATCCAGCCAAACGCCAGGCTGGGGGAGCCCAGTCCCTTTCCCAGGGATCAGACTCCGCACAAGATCCAGGGCTGTCCCCAGCACCTAAACCCTGGCATGCCAGTGCCAAGGTCACACAGCAGCCTGCGTGTGCGATGCAGTGCACCTGTGTTTTACACCGGTACTGCAGCTTGCGCAAGCCTGAGCAGGACAAAACACCCCGGCCCCAGTGCCAAACCTGTCCATCCTTTGAAATCCTCTTCCACAGAGAGGGGAAACGCACTGCGGGGAAAGCAGGCAGGGTGCTCCCCCAGCCAGCCTGCTGCAATCCCAGCATTTCACTGGGAGCACGAGCTGGGAAACACACAAACACCAAAGCCACGTGCCCAAATCCCCAGTCTCCGGGCCTTTTGTTTTCACGGACATGCCCCCATCAGACAGAGCCGGCACCTCCGTTGCGGCTCAGCCCAGCTCAAGCCCCGTGCGATCCCAGAGGTCTGGCCAGCAGCCTCTGAGCAAGCAGGCTGGAAGTCAACATCAAGACTCCTGCAGCGATGCAGGTCTGCCCTGTATCCACCTGGCCCAGCACGCCCTGGAGACGAACTCCCAGCTCTCTTTTCAGGTCCCTGGGAAGCCCAATGCTCAGCTCACCTCAGCTTTATGTCAAAAACTTTAGCCCTTACTTTTTCTAGAGCTGGAAGCCTCTGTTCTTCCATGGCCCCTCCACAGTGAGCAGCCCCAGGTCAGTGCTTCGTGAATGTTTTTGGAAAGCCAACAGGCACCAGGACGTCCATGCGGTCCCGTTATCACGCACGGATACAGCATCCCACATGCAGGCAGACCTGAAGAGCAACAGTTTGCAGCTGTTTGGAGTTTGGCAGGAGGCACAGACGCCTGGACACCCTACTCCAGGGCTCTCCATCTCTAAGCAGAACCTGACGCTATGCAGCGACCGCTCTGGTGATGCCGGGGCATCACTCCGCCCCATGTGCAGACACAGCCAGGCTGGTCAGACCACGCAGAACAGCACAGCCTCCCCTCTCAAGCAGAACAGGCTGCAGAGCAGTTTTACTGCTCCCTGTCTCCAGTCTCCTCCCTTGGCCGGAGCCCCTTCAGAGGCGGACACAGAGCGCCCTGCTGGCAATCATCTACAGCGCAGACTGGAAGCGATTCCCGGCAAGCCCTCCTGGAGATACCAGGAGCCATCAGAGGAGCCGGGAAGCGCATTAACACTCACACACCCTGCACTGCCAAACGCCGTCGTGCAGCTTTGAGTCAGCAGCAGCCGATACAGACGCGTCTTGCCCGCCGGCAGAGCCACCCAGCCGAGCAGGAGGTCTATGACGAAGAAGCAGCCGGCTGAGGGATGCACAGCCTGTGCCTCTGGCTCAGTCTCGCTGAAGACTGCACAGGGGTCTGGGGATACCCCTGAGCTTTGCAATACCAAGGCCACGCCACTCTGCTCCTGTCCGTCTCACCATAGGGCTGTACGCCTGTGCAGGCTGGCTCGCCCTAAAGGCGGTGTCTAATAAGCGGTTTCCAGCTGTGACCTGCACTGGACATTTGGAGGGAAGTGAAATCCTCCTACTCAAAGAGCCTTTCCCTGCGGCTCCAGCCTGCAGCCTCGGAGGGAGGGTGATCTCCCAAGCCCTCCTCAACTCTTTTAACTCAGCGTCTTGCAACAAGGAGTCCCACAGCTGTGAGTCACCAGCAAACAAGCTTCCTTTCCCCCAGGACTCCCTTTGATCCACCTGGGGCTGGGCACCCTCGGTGGTTGTGCATCAGGGGTGGGGGTACAAACCAGCTGAGCTTGCTCCCTTCATCCCTCTCCGGGCTCTGCTGGAGACCCTGGCGCATCTCCTGCTCTCTTCTAACAACCCTCCAAGCCCTCGCAGATCCCTGTGTTTGCTTTACACTCAGTAGTGCAGCAGCCACAAGGCCACACACCGTGGGTCAAGAGGACACTCATGCCATGCTGTGCCCAAGCAGCTGGTGCTGCAGTGACACCCAGGACAGACAGATGCGGGGCATCACCAGCTGGGAAACGTGGGATTCCAGCAGCCCCAGTGCTCACCACCACGAGCTTTGGGCACATCAGGAGCAGGGATTTAAACCAGCCGCTTTACATAAAGCGGCTCAGAGGGTGGACACGAGTCTGCTCCCGCTGCAGCTCTCCCTACAGCCATTCTCCCCTCCCTGAGAGGCCCCCAATGGCATTTCACAGGCAGAGCCAAGCAGATGCTCTAAAAAGCTTCACTTCCATGGAGTTTCTCCCCTGAAAAACCACATCCACCAGTTCAAAGGAACCCAAATCCCACAGCAGGGGAGCTTGCCTTGGGAGCCAAGGGCTGCCAAGCAGAGCTGGCCACACCAGCAGCAGAGCCCAGCCTCCCACAGATGGGCGCTCGCCTCCCTCGTGCCCAGTGCCAGGCAAGGCTGTGACACCCAGCTGAAGTTACTGGTGTCTTGCGCGAGGACACGCGTGGCCCGCGGGAGCTCCCCACTGAGCTGCGCAAAGTCCACCTTCACGCTGCCAGCACACGGCGCGTGCACCCGGCATGCCAGGGTTATGCTCTGAGCAGAGGGCAGCTTCCCTCCGCGCCTCCTCACGGCGTTCAGGCTTCGCCTCGGGTGTGCAGGCAAGCTGCCAAGGCAGCTCTCACCTGAAGCTGCGGCAGAAAGCTGGCTGGACAAGGGCGCAGAGCTGCCGCTCCGCCAGGGCGGGAGACGAGCCCGCAAGTCGCAGTGCTCCACCCAGGCAGGCTAGGGACTGCTCCGGCAGGCGCTGGCACGGGCAGCGGCTGAGAAGAGGATGCTCTGCAGAGATTCCTCAGCTGCTTTTGGGCAGCGTCATGCACAAACACACCTGCCTTCCCCACCACACGCTTACAGACCGCTCCGCTGACGTTAGAGAGAGGTGACAAAGACTTGGCATCCTCTGCACAGGCTCGGGAGGGCCTCCCTGCAGCATCGCTAACTCAGCACCACCAAGGCAACTCCCTGCCTAGGCAAAAGCACCTTGCGCAGCCCAGGCTCCCAGTACGAGCTCCTGGGCTGCCTCACAGCCGCAGAACAAACGGCTTAACCAAACACACCCCTGAGGTGCGGGAGGCAGAACTGTGCGGGAGACAACAGGTGTCTTTCCAGCACCCCGGTGAACTGGAAGATGCAGAAACGTGAGACTTCCCAAAATCTAAATCAATGCAAAGAGCAAGTGCCCTCCGGCCCCATCCAGAGAAGCTCCAGAGACCACACGCGTGCTCCCCACGCACACAGCAACAGACTCGGGACCGAAACCCAGCAGCCCACATTGCCACTCCGTCCCCTGCACGGTCCCAACCGGAGCCGGTGAGACTGTGGAGGGACGGACGTGGTGCATGCGTGGCAACAAGGGAGACCTGACCCACCGCAGCGTAGACCTGCCCTGGAGCAGGAGACGCTTCTCCCCAGAACGTCCCGCTGCCGGGACTCGTGGAAAGCCCTCCCGCTCCGGAGAGGGCCGGGG